AACGGGGTCTTGGTTTTGGTGACAATGCACTTCGCTGTAGTGATAAACCTTCACTCCCTACTTTTTGGCTTTGTGTTTGTTGTTCTCGGTTGTTTTGCTCAGCTGCTTGCTGCACCTGAAACGATGGTCACGTCACCTTCATCAAATGATGAATCCATTGAGTTAAAACTCTTTATGACTTCGAAAAATAATTCTTCAATAAATTTTCCACATAGCCTGGATTGCCTGGATCGGCCAGGCTATCAAACGTTTATAACGTTGCTGGCCACAATGCTCGCGTTTCCGTGCGCATTGTTTTAGCCTCAATTTACGCCACCCCGCTGGCTAGGCGAGCAGGCTAACCGAGTAAATAATTAGTCGCCGTGAATACTTTACATAATTGAACGCAGTCAAATACCAATTCAATAAAAATAAATATTCTGCCGATTGCTCACTGCGATTGACGAAACAGTAATAACAATTTTTTCCACATAGCATGCAGAAAAAATTGCCGAGCAACGGCAAGACAAGAGAGCAAAACTGATCATGTATGAACAAAAAATGACACTCGCACAACAAATACCTGTTTCGCATCGCGCTGTCTCCTCAGTGATTGCAGTTCCGATTCCATGAAGCCGATAGTGTCCACTGTTAATTCTTAAACGAAAACCTTCAACAGCGTTTGAGATCAGCAGCTGTTTGCCATCTGCGACATCTACTCTTCTCACATTCAGAAAGCCCAAAACTTTAGTTACTATAAACTGCTTCACTGAGCCAGTTCGAAACAAGACAAGACTATTCCTTTCAAGTTTGAACGCCAACAACAACGAAACGAATGAAACGATTTTAAGCGATTAAAATCGATCTCTTCAGCAACTGACCAGTATTGCTGCCGATCGACGTCCTCTCGACTTGCTTCGTTTCGATGTTCTGTCGCAGAGCAATCGCTGCTATTCGAAGCAGAGGCGTTAGTGAAGGTGGTAGCCAGTGATTGGCCAACAGTCGCTGACCGAAACGAATCTGCAGCTCATCAGCAAATCCCATCAGCGTTTCGGAATCCAATCCAAGCGTTCGAATCCTGTCCTACAGTGGCTCAAAGTGACTTCCGAATAATCATTCACTACTATTAAAATACACCAACCAAAGATTTAAGCTGAAATATCAACGATAACGATTGATGACACTTCAATAGCGCTGAAGTTTCCAACCCTCTCTAATGACCAGCAACATGATTTAGTATCTCTTTACGATGAACTGAGGTAATCACTTTTCTTTCCAAACAAAGCTCAATGATTAAATTATGACGTTACACATAGAGACTGAAGACATTTTGAAATGTAAAACTGAAAAAAAAATGTCACAAGATTGAAGAAAATTTAAGTATTTATGAGTTAATAGGGAACAAACTCCGAGCTCTCTTGACCATGCCGTGAAAACAGAACATGCACGAACTGCCTCTCGAGCAATTGTAGCCGCTTCCCGAATCACGGGTAATATTTGCTGCAGTTGTCGACCAATGAGCTGAAATTAAAACGATCACAAAGTAGGCAGAAGCAAATCCAAAAATCAATTGGAAAATTCGCCATCTACATCAAATTATTCTATCATCACAATTTTATCAATTCCAATTGCATTCTCTGACTGTGATCTAGAACCAATACGCTACAATCTGTACAAGAAATCAATCGTTCACAGATTCTTAAGCCGCAAAAGAAGCATTAAACGTTATTTATTGCATCATTTTACATTCGCTGCTGTTGTAAAATCTGACTAGATCTATAAAATTATCAATCAGCCGCCTTGTGTATTTGATTACCTGGAAGTGATCATTTGGATCT